TCATATACAGAATGAATTACAGGCTTTAGGATATGATAACAATGGCGATACAGACAAAAACGACAAATGATTCATACCAAGATTGAGAAATTGAAATTATAATAGCAGAGTGGGTTGAAAAGATCAAGTCCATTATATTGGTCAACACATTTCTTTGATTAGTCAGCACATAAACTAGTATTCAAAAAAGATTCTGGTTGAATTTTAAAGTTTCTTGGACTCTTGAGAAAAGAGATTATTATATAATCCGAAGATCTTGTAAAAAATGACAAAGAGAATAGAACAAATTCTTTAGATTAACATAAATGATTAATTTTATGGTAATATAATTTTTAAAAAAAGTTTTAAATATAAAATTACATTCTATTAAAAAATATTACAATTAAAAAAATATTACAATTAAAAAAAAATATTACAATTAAATTTTAATAAAATTATTTTTAAATGAATTATTATTATTATATATTTTTTTGTTGATTTAAATAAGTCGATAATTTAGCACCAATTTCTGTTGCTAAATCTTGATTTTCTTTGGATAATTTAGAATCACTTGTTTCTTGCCGAATAGGTGATGATGAAGAAGATCTTGATAAATTTGTTCGATTATGATGTGATCCGGTCGATATTGATTCATTCATTGCTTTTTCACAAAATAATTCCAAAGCTTTTTCCAACTAATAATTTTTAAAGTAAAAAATTTATTAATAAGTATGGCTTTAACTTAATAAAAAACAAACCAAGGAATTAATCATCAAGAATTTAATTAATCAAAAAAAAATTACTTACATGAATTTCACCGATTTCTGTTAAATTTTTGATTTCTTTTACATCGAATTCTTCAAATTTCACATCGAATCGTAATTTTACAGCACTAAAAAATAATGATTATATATAAATATTAATATATTAATATATTTTATAAATCATTTATAAAAAAAATCTAAGAAGTACTAACGTTGCAAAAAAGTTTAGATTTTCTATGACACGATATGTTCTTGATGTATCTTCATGAATTTTATCAATAAATCCAAAGGGTTGTTTAGAATATTTAACGATCGTATTATAAATATTACATAATAATCTGCCATCACTAAAAACAATAAATATTAT